GATAGGTTGGAACCAATGGTCTGAAGTTTCTCCCCTGCCCCATGGACATGCTGAGAGACTGCAGATTGCAGTCCCGGTTTTCTCAGGCGGAGCAGGTCTGCAGGGCTTCAAAGCCTTGGAGCAGTCCAGAACCACTCATCCGGGGTTTGTTTGAGGTGTGAGATCTTTTTTGTGTTTTGATTTTTTTAAACACAGGGTTTCTCTGTGTAGCCCTGGCTGTCCTAGAACTTGCTCTGTAGACCAGGCTGGCCTTCCACTCTAGAGATCTGTCTGCCTCTGTCTCTGGAGTGCTGGGATTAAAGGTGAGGTGTGAGATTCTTAAAAGAGCAGATGACACCTGCTCTCACCTTTTCTCACATGAGCAGCAGGATCTGGGAGGCCTCTGGGAGGATGCCGCCTGGTGCCCTCAGGTTGCTCCTGTGGAAACAGGCCTGAGAGCAGGCCTGAGAGAAGCTACAACAGGCCACACACAAGAACACAAGCAGGTCTCCCCTCTCTGTAATAACAGACAGGCTTATGGTGAGCTCTGTAAAGTTTCAACCAGAAATTTAAGTCAGGTAATTGTCCACTCTGGGTTATTTTTTATTTTGGTATAGACTTGGGGCTAAAACCCAGAGTCTTGAGAATGCTAAGCAGGAGCTCCTCCAGCCCAACTTCCAAAAAACCTCCAGCAGGGGGCAGCAAAACTTCAACATGTATCTCAATGCCCATAATTCTTTCACAGTTGGTACAAGAGTATTTTGTTTTGTTTTGCCTTTTTTTTTTTTTTTTTTTTTTCTTTCTTGAAACAGAGTTTCTTTCTGTATCCCTGGCTGTCCTGGAACTCACTCTATAGACCAGGCTGGACACGAACTTGGGGATCCGACTGCTTCCTGTGTGCTGGGATTAAAGGCATGTGCCACTGTGGCCAGGCCAAGAGTACTTTTTGTATGTGTGTTGGAGAAGGGTCTGGAATTCCCTATATAGACTGGGATAGCCTTGAACTCTCAGATAGCCTCCTCCTGTTTCCACATCCTGGACAGTAGGATTATAAACAGAAATACAACAACAACAAATTCCTGTTGGTTTATTGAGTGTTTATGTGTATGGATGGATACCCACATTCTGTCTGTCCTTCTACCATGTGGGCCTTGGGTTTGAATTTAGAACATCCGGCTTGGCAGTGAACATTGTTACCGAGCAGGGAGCAAGCACTTTGGCCAAAGAGAGCTTTTTAAAAAACAGTTTATTTTATGTGTGTTGATGGATTACCTGCATGTATGTCTCTGTGAGGGTGTTGGGTCCCCAGAACTGGAGTCACAGATAGTTGTGAGCTGCCCTGTGGGTGCTGGGAGTTGAACCCAGATCCTTTGGAAGAGCAGCCTGTAGTACTAACCACTAAGCCATCTCTCTAGCCCCCAAAGAGAACAATTTTTATGTCTAATAGTGTTCACTGCCATCGCCTCCGAAATTAACAGGCGCCAATTCTTCCTGGGCTTAACTCTGCCAAGCACCTTGGAGGAGATGGCGCCACTGACCTCACCCCTGCTCACAGCGAGGAGTGGGGGGATTCAGAGAGCGAGTAAGTGACTTGCATTTGGGGGCTGGAGAGATGGCTCAGCAGCCAAGATCATCAGCTGCTTTATCAAAGGACCTGGGTTCTGTTCTAGGCACCCAAATGGCAGCTCATGACCATCATCTCTAATCGCAGGGGATCTGATGCCTTCTTATGGGGTGCTGACCTACACGCAGACAAAACACCAAATGCAAAAACAAAGCAATCGTTAAAAATTTGAAAACGCGTGGTGTGCACACACCTTTGATCCCAGCACTTGGGAGGGAGAGGCGGGAACCTCTGGGAGTTCAAGGCCAGTGTGGCCTTCAGAGCAAGTTCCAGAGCAGCCAGTGCTACACAGAGAGACCCTGTCACAAACAAACAAAGAAAACAAAAGAAAAAACCCATCAATTAGGCTAGGATATATAACTCAGGTGGTGGAGAACTTTCCTCGCACTTTCAAGACCTTGGGTTAATTCACACTGCACAGACTATGTTAGCGAGCAGATGCCGCGCCAGGTGGGACAGTTGATAAAAGGACCTCCGGCCACCCCAGCTCCCCGTTCCTGGCGTTTTCTCTCCCCCTTCCTGTCCTCTGCGCCCCCACCTCCCCACCTGACCCCTCGCCCTGCCCTCACGGCTCCGCTCCCGTGAGTCTGTCTCTTCCCCTCCTCCAGGCCCTCACTCCTCTCCCTTCCCACGATAATGCTCCTTATGTCGGGTGTTACATGGCGTAATTCCTCGGTGGCACAGCTGGGCACGGGCCCCACAGGGAAGCCACTCACCGCATTTTACATATATGCCCACAGGCCTACACACGCATCATGAACTTCTGTGAAGTCTGAGGATGACTTCGGAGCAAGCCGGCATCCTCCACGGGGGTCCCAGGGATTGAACTCAGGTCATCACGCTTGGCATCAAGCATCCTCGTGGGTGGCTCTACAACAGCTGAGTCCCTGAAGCTCCCCGCGTGGGCGCCAGCCTCTGCACAGCTCCAGCGAACCTTTTACTCCCGGCACATGCTAACGCCCCAGGTCCTGCGCAGCTGGCCCGGCATCCCCCGCACCTGCAGGGTGTGTGACTGTGGTCCATGCTGAGGGTCTCTGGATGAGGCAGTGGAAACCGGCCTGCTCTTGCTGGGGTCGTGGTTGCTCTGCTGCTCTGTTCTGCAGGAAGCCCCGAAGTCACACACGGCTGCTGAGAATCGAAGATGCAGCTCTCTCGGGAAGCCTGAGCCCGCTCTAGGGCTGTGAATGCCCCCCCCCCCTTGGGTCTCCCTTAAGCCTCTCTCTTCCCTAATAATGCCCATGTTTCCATTTATATTGAATTTTATTTTGCGTATACCATACTGGGCACATGCAGTGAGCACGGCGGCCAGCAGAGGGCGCCGAGTCCCTGGGAAGTGCGGGCTGGAAGAGCTTGCGGGTTCTGCGGATCAAACCCGCGTCCTCCCCGCGTCCTCCGGAAGAGCAGCCGGTGCTTTTTAACCGCCCCTTACATGTGTGTTAAAACTGAAAAATACGCAAACTGTTGCGCTTTTCTTCCCTCCCTGGGAATTAAACGCTGGGAGAGCACTCGACCACCGAGCCGCACCCCTGCGTTTAGGAGTTGGCGTCTCCCTAAAGTGTCCGGGCTGACTTCGAACAGGTGGCCTTCTGCTTCGGCGTAGCTGTGTTCACGGGCATGCCCCACCGCGCCCTCGCTCCCTGCCACGCGTTAGCGGCATTTCTAGTCCACCGGCCTCCCTTGCGACTGGGAGCTTTTGCTCCAACTGCCGCCTGGGCTGTTCCTTCTTCTTTGTTTTCGCGCCTGGCTGTCCCGGCACTCGCTCTGTTGACCAGGCTGGCCCCGAACTCACAGCGAGCCGCCTGCCTCTGTCTCCGGAGTGCTGGGATTGCAGGAGTGTGCCGCCACGCTGGCTCCACTGAGCCGCCTGGTCGGCCTATACTGTACCACTCTTCTCGCCACACCTGGCACTGTGTTCTACTCTTCCTTCTGAGACAGAGCAGTCTGTAGGCCAGACTGGCCTGGGTGGAGCTTACCATCCTTCCATCCTTGTCCTCTGAGTGTTGAAATACAGGTATGCATTACCACACCCAAAGGTGTTTTTTTTTTTTTTTAATTGCGTGCTATGTATGTGTGTGTAAGCGAGAGAGAGAGGGAGAGATTCTTAAGTACGTGCGCAGTCGGAGGGCGACATGCCCTTCTTCCGCTATCACCCTCTGGGCTTGGAGGCCTCTGACACTGCGAAACCAGATGGCCTGCGAGCCCCAGGCTCTTCCTGCCTCTCCTCGGCCTGAGGATTACAGGCAAGCCCTGCTCGCTAGGGGCCTCACACTTCCCAGGGAGCCCTCTGTCTCCGGAGCGCAGCTGAGGGGCCCTTCTGAGGCATCTGCTTTGTGGAATTGCTCCGTTTGGCCCGGGGCACAGGCAGTGCGGGCCGGAAGTCCTATTCTCCCACTGTGAGACCCTCACCTAATTAGGTCTCCTCATCTGTAAAATGGCACAGCAGCGGGCGGGCTCTCGGGACAGACGTGCTAAGGCAGTGTGAACTGTCAACTCTGCGCCCCACAGATCCAGGGAAAGGAATTCGTGTGGATCCCTGGGGACCAGATTGAGCACCGCAGCTGGAACCCATCTTCAAGGGGGGAGGGGGGAGAAAGTTACTCTGCCAGGTGTGGTGGCGCACACCTTTAATCCCAGCACTCAGGGAGGCAGAGGCAGGTGGATGACTGTGAGTTAGAGGCCAGCCTGGCCTACAAAGTCCAGGACAGCCAGGGCTACACAGAGAAACCCTGTCTCCAAAAAATAATAATAATAATAATAATTCTTGGGAGAGATGGCTCAGAGGTAAAGAGCACTGCTCTTCCAAAGGTTCCGAATTCAATTCCCAGCAGCCACAAGGCGGCTCGCAGCCATCGACGGTGGGGTCGGGTGCCCTCTGCTGGCGCGCAGGTGTACGTGCAGGAAGTGTCCGGCGCCACGCCGCTGACGACGCTGCCCCGCGGCCCCCGCGTCGGCAGGCTTGAGCTCCACCCCTCCCATTGTGCCGTCAAGTGGGCCTGGGCGTTTCCATCCCGGGCCCCCGGCCGTCGCAGTCCCGCCCGCCGGCAGCCGCAGGTCCCCGGCTCACCTCGCAGGCTCACCCTTCCGGGCCCCAGGGCTGGGTGGAGCGACCGAGCCTCGGGCGCGGTGGCGACGGTGTCCCGAGAGTCGGCGTGTCCCGGGAGGCCGATCGAGGCCCCCACGCCTGGCCGGAGCCCGGCGGTCGCCCGCCCGCGTCCTCCCCCGCCCCGCCTGACCCCGCGCCCTCCTCCCCTCCCCGCGCCCAGCCCCTCCTGCGGAGTTTGGTTTGAACTTGCGAACGCGCCAATCCTCGGCCTCGCTCGGCCCGGGGCGGGGTCCGGGGTCCGCCCTGCCGACGTGTGGCCCGGGCCAGGCTACAAAAGCGCCCTCCCGGGGGCCGGGCCTCACACGGCCTCTCCCCCGGACTCCTTGGCGGTCTGTTAGCGGGAGCTCCTCGCAACCCCGGCTTCCTCGGCTTCCCGCGGACCACGTCCACGACCAAGTATGGTGAGTGCGGCTCGGGGGCCGTCTGGAGGGGCCGCGGGCTGCCCCGGGGGTCGGCCGCCTCCAGCCCACCGGCACCGCCCTCCCGGCCGAGCTGGGAGAGCGTCCCCGTCTAGGCGGCTCCTGGAAAGGCAGGAGTTTCCCGCTGACCACAACTAAAGAGAAACTAAAAGGTCTCTCTCTCTCTCTCTCTCTCTCTCTCTTTTTACGATGTCGCCTCCCAGCTGGGCACCTCGTGCCCTCGGGACGGGGCTGAGCGGACGCTTCCGGCCACTCTGTCCACGCCCTGTGACTCGCTGCTGAGTCACCTGTGGCCGGCCAGTCCCCGGGCCTCCCCGCTGCACCTGGGAAGGGCAGCTCCTCCCGTCCGAGGGAGTAATGATTAACCCGCAGAGCTTCCAGCCTGGCAGGGTTTCTTAACTTGGCTTCCAGGTTAAGAAACACGTCCATAAAAGGTTTTTGAGACAGGGTTTCTCTGTGTAGTTCTGGCCGTCCTGGAACTACCCTGTAGGCTAGGCTGGACTCGAACTCATAAGAGATCCGCCTGCCCCCGCACGTGCCCCTGCCCGGCTTGGTTTTTGGTTTTGTCTCAGGTAGCTCACGCCAGCCTAGAAGTCACTGTGTGGCTGGGCTGACCTTAAACTCAAGGTCCTCCTGTCTCCACCACCCAAGGGCTTCTGACAACTCACCTAGCTCAATAGTGAATTCATTCAGTTCAAGGAACAGGAACTCGGGTGGGAGCTGGCAGCTTTAATTCCTGGGCTCTGGCAGAGGCTGAGCGCTCTTCTGAGTTCAGGCCAGCCAGAGCTACATAGTCAGACCCTGTCTCAGAAAAAAAAAATAAAAAATACCAGGAACTGATCCCAGCTTGGAGGAGGGTGGTTAGTTCTGTACTCCGAAGGATGAGGCGGGGATTGTCCATGAGTTTGGGGCTTTTCGGGCTTCCTGGCGAGTCCCAGGCTAGTGTGGACATCAGGGTGACCAATCTTGGAATAGGGAACCTTGGACTATATCAGTTTAATATTTAGAAGAACATTTGTCTGTCCTGGAAGCCACTGAGTTTTATCTCCAGAAGAGAAGGGAACATAACCAGAATCATCCTTAGCTGCCGATAGAACTTTAAAAGAAAACCCACATCAGCGTTGTTTTTGAAGGGCATAGCTTCGCAGTCCAAGATAACTCCATTAACAGCCTTTTGACTTGGCTCCTTCCCACTTTCCCATAAAACAGTCAGGGTCTCCTAACCACAGCAGGCTCAGCTGTTCTAAGCTTCTGGGGAGAATGAAAGCAAAAACCTTTTTTGAAGAAATCTCACCTTCTCCCCCAAGGGGTTCATGTAGCCCAGGCTGCCTCTCACACCCTGTAGTGGAGGATGACCTTGAACTGCCGACCTCCTGCTTCCTAGGACTGGGACTACAGTTCTGGTGCCGGGATAGAGCACAGAACTTCAGACGAGAGCTAAGGCAAGACGGCTCCCAACTGTGCTAAATCCCCAGCCTCAGATGCTGTTGGTTTTTTGTTTCACTTACTCACTAGTGGGGGTGTGCTTGTGTGCGGGGGAGGCGAGCACAGCGCGGCTTTCCTTCAGGGTTGAGCTCCAGAGTTGAGGCTGGCCACTAGCCAGGTGAGCCAATGCCCTCCCACACCCCATGAAACTGTTTCGAACTGTATTCTGAAAGAGGAGTCAGTGAGTAATAGGATGCAGCAGTTAGGAAACTCTGTACCAACTGGCCTGAGCGCTTTCGACCAGGTGAAATCACAAAGATACAATTCAGAAAAGCCCCAGGCTCTCCTGTCAGGCAAGCCCTGCTTAAGTGAATGGCTCTTTGCAAGACCAAGCCTCTCAGCCAGCTGAGGCTGGTATAGACTTGAGTCATCCCTGCCCTTGACTTTGCCTTCATTAGCTTCCAGCAGGCAGGTTTGTTTTCTGAGGATTTTACATTTATCGTGCGGATGAATGTTTGCCACTGCTTGAGATGAGACAACTTGGGAAAGTTTGTTCCCTCTTTATACAAAGTAGGTCCCTGGGATTGAACTCAGATCATCCGGTTTGGGAGAAACCGACCTCAGCTCTCCAGCCATCTGGCCAGCCCAAAGAAGCAGTGTGGTTAGACAGATCAGAAATTGGGGGCAAGAGGCTGCAGTTGAACTAACTGCCTTGTTAGAATGAGCGGCCCTCAGACACTGCCTCCTTAGGCCTGTCTGTGGTTCCGTCTAGCTTCAGGGGACTGTGGAAGTTCCAAATCCAGGTGAAGGTCACTGGAACAAGAGCTGCCCCTCCCCCGCAGCCCTGGGGCAGGAGACACTGAACTCACTGATATGGTCAGAACCCTGGTGACAAGTCAAAGGTTGTGGGTAATGGCTCCTTCATTATCCTGGCCTGTGAAACTGCTCCTCAAAGGGCCTGGGTGCTGAATTGAGTTTCCTTTTCATGACTCTTAAGAGCAGGAAAGTCTTTATTTACTACTTGAGGGAAATAGTGGGAAACAGTGGGAGGCTTCTCCTGTCAGGTTGGAAGGTTCTCTCGTCCCATGGAGGTGAGCTATGATGAACAGTGGGTCCCTCGTAATCCTGTGGGCGCAGGGTCCGCCCTCGCTGTCTCATTTGACTAATCAGGAATGAGATTACTGCGTACAGCAAGGGAGGGAGAACAAGTCTCCCCCCCACTGTCAGATTCTTGCAATTATGTCCCCACAGTGCCAGAAACGGACAGTCTAGTCTACTAGACAATCAGCTAACTTCCTCTCCCCACTCTCCGCCCCCATCTCTTAAGCTATCAAGGTAAAGTTTTCGGGACCTTCTGGCCTCAAGCATCTTTTCTTCCCACCAGATGGGTTGACAGCAAAGGATAATGTTCTCCTCGTAGACTGGCTCTTCCCTGGGTTGAAAGGCTGCCTCTGGCCACGCTTAACACACAACTAACTGCTTATCTAGAGTTTTCTCTGTGAGTCATGGGGCTGGTTTAAGCTGGTTTTAAAGGGGAGAGGAAGTCTTGTCTGTTAAAGAACTGGATGAAAGAGGAACCACAATGAGCTCAGGAGTAACACAGTGTGACTCAGCTCTGGAAAGGAAAAAGATGCTGTCAAGTTCAAGGACTCAGCAGCCTACTTACAAGAGCTGGGGAATTCTGCCATAATTTTTTTTGGGGGGGAGGGGGGCAGGCAGTGTTGAGACAGGGTTTCTCTGTATAGGTTTGGCTGTCCTGGCCTCAAACTCATAGAGATCCACCTGCCTCTGTCTCCCTGAGTGCTGGGATTACATGTAGGTGTCACCACAGCCAACTTGAATGCCATTCCAAAGCAGTAGAATGATCGTGACTACTGTGGCTACAACAGAGGAAGGGCCTGGCTTGCCTGGTAGGTCACTAGGATTATCTTCTAGAGATTATTGACTTCTCTTGAGTTAGCTCTTCAATAACGAATTTTGGTTGTGAAATGCAGTCCTAAGCAGGAGTGGCTTCTGAGAAGTGATTTGACGGTTTTTTAACTTAGGTGTGAGCCATCCCCCAACTCCCCATGTGTCATGTTCTGACACCTCCTTTCCCCCCTTTCCGCAGCGTGAGTGCATCTCCATCCACGTTGGCCAGGCTGGTGTCCAGATCGGCAATGCCTGCTGGGAGCTCTACTGCCTGGAACATGGCATCCAGCCTGACGGCCAGATGCCAAGCGACAAGACCATTGGGGGAGGGGACGACTCCTTCAACACCTTCTTCAGCGAGACGGGCGCTGGCAAGCACGTGCCCCGGGCAGTGTTCGTAGACCTGGAGCCCACGGTGATCGGTGAGCTGGCCCGGAGCTTCCCTGGCCGCTGCTTCTCGCTGGCTGGCATGCTCAGAATCTCTTCAGACAGGGAAGGGGGAGCGAGCTGTGGGGCTGATCTCTTTCTTCTCCTTGCCCAGATGAGGTTCGCACTGGTACCTACCGTCAGCTCTTCCACCCTGAGCAGCTCATCACGGGCAAGGAGGATGCTGCCAACAACTACGCCCGTGGCCACTACACCATCGGCAAGGAGATCATTGACCTTGTCTTGGACCGGATTCGCAAGCTGGTGAGTGCAGTGGGTTGTGTAGGGGAAGGTTCTCTGTACTGTGTTTTACCATGATTTGAGGTACTATGCTTATTCAGGGAGAACCAGCGAGCTTCACCGTCCCTTGACATTAAAGACTGTGGAAAGCCTCTTTGTTTAAGCTCAGACATTCACGTCCCTCTTTGGTGCTCTCAGTCGCACTGAGTAGGTGGCTGACGCCTGCCTGTGACTAACAGATGAAACTCACTTGGAAATCCGGACTGGCATTTCATGTTAATACAGCTCCTTCATAGAGCAGGTCACCTAGCGTTTACAGCACCCGGACTCAGTCATCAGAAACAGAAGAAAGAAGCAAAGGGTTTCAGAGCCCCAGAAGCCAGGGTGACACCATTTAGAAGCTGCCCACAAGCCAGGCCATGGTGGCTTACTCCTCCAGCACACGAGAGGCGGAGGCTGGCAGATCTCATGAGGTCAAAGCCATCCTGGTCTACAGAGTGAGTTCTAGGACAGCCAGGGCTACACAGAGAACCCCCCCACACACACACACCCAAAAAAAAGTCTTAGTCCTCCAGCAAAGCTTGAGGAGTCAGCAGCTTTCATATGGAACAGACAGATACGTCATTGGAACTTACAGATTAGAAATCCCAGAAAAGCCATTTCCTAGCGCTCAGGGCAGTGAGCTGACTCTAGCTGAGCAGTTCTGAGCACTCCAGTCCTGGCAGGAGAGCTGGTAAGCCCATGTTTGAATGGACAGCCTTGAAGTCAGATGACCGCCCTGTAAGCCTTGTAAGTGATTAACCAGGATGGAAGCATGGCAGGAGGCTGAGGTCACGTTATGCAGGGTCCAGCCACAACTGGCCTTTTCCCTCACAGCTTCATGCTTTTCTCAACTTCCCATCAAATCTGGTGACTTGTCCCAGTGCAAATGAAGTTTCAGTGAGAGCAGTGACTCTGGGGCCTGCTGTCGGGCATGAAAACCAAGTAAAAGCCATTTACAGTTCTAGTTCACTGTACAGTTCACTGCCAGAGGAGTTGCATTCCATCCCGGTGTCGCTGGGTCTGCTCAGTGCTGCTTGTATGTAATTAGAATGTGGAGTCATTTATGAGTGTACGAAAGGAGTAAAAAGGTCACAGTTAGGCCCCCGGAGTAGCGTGCTTGCCCAGGACAGGAAGGTTCCATCCCCACTGTCATAAAGCACAGGGTCCAAATTTGGCCTTTGGGGTTGTCATAGTTTGCTGAATGGAGCGGGGAGCCCCAGAGGCCTGAAGTCCAGTGGAACCACCGTGCCCAGAATGAGGTGGCACCCACATGCTGAGTGCCTACGGTGCCAACGTTATTCCGAATACTCACCAATTTTCACCCTGAGCTGGGTCACTACTCTCATTTTCGTAAGTGAGATAAAGTAGTCTTGTCACACAGAGGAGGCAGGGCCCCCACCCACCCCCTCCAGCCTGAAGATCACCTGGGCAGTGAGTGGGACCAGCCATCCTGTGTTCCAGCTTGGATGGTTCACACTGATTTGGCAATGCATTCCAGGTCGGGTAGCACCAGCCGATAAGAAGGGTGCACGACCTTGACCAGCAACCAAAGCCTGGGCTGTGTGTTCTTGGCAAGGAGATGGGCCTGGGAGTCTCCTTGAGTCACTGAGCATTTTGAGGCCTTTGACAACCGCCCTGACTAGATGTTCTGGAAGTTAGTCACAGGCTCATAAACGCCCACTGCGGCTTTCACAGGATGTCTCAACATGAAATGAACTTTTCTAATTGCAGGCTGACCAGTGCACGGGTCTTCAGGGCTTCTTGGTTTTCCACAGCTTTGGTGGGGGAACCGGCTCTGGCTTCACCTCCCTGCTGATGGAGCGGCTCTCAGTTGATTATGGAAAGAAGTCCAAGCTGGAGTTCTCCATTTACCCCGCCCCCCAGGTGTCCACTGCTGTGGTTGAGCCCTACAATTCCATCCTCACCACCCACACCACCCTGGAGCACTCTGATTGTGCCTTCATGGTAGACAATGAGGCCATCTATGACATCTGTCGTAGAAACCTGGACATTGAGCGCCCAACCTACACTAACCTTAACCGCCTTATTAGCCAGATTGTGTCTTCCATCACGGCCTCCCTCAGGTTTGATGGGGCCCTGAATGTTGACCTGACAGAGTTCCAGACCAACCTGGTACCCTATCCTCGCATCCACTTCCCTCTGGCCACATATGCCCCTGTCATCTCTGCTGAGAAAGCCTACCATGAGCAGCTTACAGTAGCAGAGATCACCAATGCCTGCTTTGAGCCAGCCAACCAGATGGTGAAATGTGACCCTCGCCATGGTAAATACATGGCTTGCTGCCTGCTGTACCGTGGTGATGTGGTCCCCAAAGATGTCAATGCTGCTATCGCCACCATCAAGACCAAGCGTACCATCCAGTTTGTGGACTGGTGTCCCACTGGCTTCAAGGTTGGCATTAATTACCAGCCTCCCACTGTGGTGCCTGGTGGAGACCTGGCCAAGGTCCAGAGAGCTGTGTGCATGCTGAGCAACACCACGGCCATTGCTGAGGCCTGGGCTCGCCTGGATCACAAGTTTGATCTGATGTATGCCAAGCGGGCCTTTGTGCACTGGTATGTGGGTGAGGGCATGGAGGAGGGAGAGTTCTCTGAGGCCCGTGAGGACATGGCTGCCCTGGAGAAGGATTATGAAGAGGTTGGGGCAGATAGTGCTGAAGGAGATGATGAGGGTGAAGAATATTAGCCCCATGACCTACCATTTTACACTTCCACTGTCCTGGTGTTTGTCCGACACTATCAATAAAGGTGATTGATTTTAAGTGGGAAGCTGGCCTCTTGTTCACAGCTCCTTTCCCCCTTCTCCCTTGATAGCATCTTACTAGGATGAAATACTTAGTTCTTGGGCGTCTGTTTAGCTTGATGGCCAACAGAGGCGCAACAAGGGTCTCTGGACTGTCTCCCTTGCCATCAGTGTGAAGAGGGCCTGTATATGCTGGCTGGCTGGCGTAAATAACAGCGAGAATGCCGTGTGCAGAAGGAACGGGTTTTGGTGCTGCCTACGTACATAAGCCAGTGCCCTGGGGTGGGTGAAGAGTTGATGTGGCACCTCTGCCCAGTGACTTCCAGCAGGACCTGCTTACCAGCCTTCCCAAGATGGCTTTTTTTTTTGTTGGGTTTGGGATGGAGTCTGCTTTAGCCATTTCTGCAGCATTTCTAGAAGCAGTGGTTTTTTTGTGCCTGGGGCAAGGTACGCCTCCTGCCGAGCCTTGGCTGCTCAGAGGACTAGTTCTTCCTGAAGCTCCTGGGACAGGTGGGTGGGCCAGCTAGGATGATGACCATAGTCTGTAACTGACCACAATGTGTGACTGGAGATAAATGGACAGCTAGGTATGGAGCTGGCATGACACCCCAGTATATCTAAAGGGTTCATTTTTTCCCCCAAGCCTGCATTTCCCTTTCAAACAGCCACAAGAAAGCACTCAGATGCCCATATGTGGGCCCTGCAAGCTTCAGAAGTGCCTGGCGGAGCCTGAAGCCCCGCTCCCGCTCCTAGTTGCAACCCCTCTCCAGAAGCAGCCCCTGCCAATCCCTTCAGTAAGCCTCTCGGGTGAGTTCTTTTATACATGAGGCAGGGTGTGAGGCTCTGGGAAGCTTTCAGCTGCCTCGGACGAGGTGAGGAAAGGTGACAGGAAGAGAACTTAGCTGAGGAAAAAAGATCCCAGAGGAGAGCCCGGGGAATTGAAGAGCGGAGTGCCCGTGGTTGGGGAGGATGGGGAGGAATCCGTCCTTGCAAAGATGGTTTTCTGCCTCCTGTGTGGGTGGAAAAGTGCGGAGAACTCAGCCTCCAGCAAGAACAAATACAGCCCAAGGCCTGGGTCACTGCTTTGTGGCCGACAATCATATGATGTGCCCTTGAGCACAAATGGAAAATCTGAGCTCAGAATCGCTTCAGAGCTCTGATGGGGTAAGTGGACGGGGCCTCAGAGGTGAGACAGGCTTCCATCCTCATTATCCGGACCGATGGGGGTGGGAGAGCCTTTCACTGCCCTCCCCTGGCCCAGGCAGAGCTGCTCCAGCGTGGGGAAGAAGCAGGAGCGGGGGTGGGGAAGGCGCTGGCTGCGCACTGGTGTGCAGCACCTGGTGCATGTCCGTACACCAACAGAAATCTGTCAGGCTGTGGGATGCCCTGTAAGGTACACTAAAACCACAGCTTGGGGCGGAAGACCTGGTGACTCAGCAGGTAAGAGTGTTTGCTACCCCTGCAGAGGACCAGGCAGCACCTACATGGCAGCTCACAGCGCAGTTCCAGGGGTCCCCTGGCCTCCACGGGCACCACACGCACTTGTAAGCAAACACTCATAGAAACTAAGCCTGGGGGCTGGAGAGATGGCTCAGCTGTTAAGAGCACTGACTGCTCCTCCAGAGGACCTGGGTTCAATTCCCAGCACGGTGGCCCACAACTGCAACTCCAAGATCTGACACCTTCACACAGGCATACATGCAAGCTAAACACCAAAGCACAAAAAAATAAATAAATAAAAACAACAACGCCTAAGCCTGAAGAGAACCAGTCTTCAGACCTCTGACTTCTGGACTGTTCTATGGCACGCTGAAGGATTGTGGGAGGAAAGGCTACATTCATAGCTTATCTCCGTGTTCTTCGCCTGAAGAGGGGCCGGTGATAGACAAAGCTTGGAGAGATTAAAGATTAGAGCCTGCCGCTGCAGAGACACTGACACACTGAAATCTGACCCAGAACTCTGACTGAAAGGGGGCTCCTGGGAAGCAGCCCTTGGGGGTGTCATCTTTGTACCTGGCGGCCTTTCCAGGTCAGGGGGGCGGTGTCAAGACCTGAAGTGCTGAAGAGACCTTGAGTCATTGGTTATCACCACACATCCCAGGAGCCCAGGAAGCAGCATTGGATTCAGGCCAGTAACAACCATCAGACCAACCTCCAACATCACAGCCATCCTCCTGCCTCAGCCTCCTGAGTACTGGGATCAAAAGTGTGTGCCACACCGCACCTCCTGCAGACAGAAAGTGCTTTGAAAGGCTCCTCTCACCACCAGACTTCTTCCTCCTTCCTCCCTTCCTTTTCTCCTTCCTTCCTTCCTCCCTCCCTCCCTCACTGCCTTCCTCTTCTCCCTCTTTTTCCTTTTTCACAGTGCTCGATGCAAAACTCTAGGACTCACTTGTAATGTAATCATTCGGCTACATCCCCAGACCCAGAAGGTTTCTTTTCTGTTTACCTTTAATTATGTTTATGTATGTATTGTGTACACGTGTGGGTGTGTGTGCGCCATGGCACATGTGTAGAGGTCAGAGGACATCTCTGTGGAGCTGTTTCTCTCCTCCTGCCTTTATGTGGTCCCAGGAGCCACCTCACATGCCTGCAGAAGAGTTCTCAAAACTGGTGCAGAAAGCAAGCAAGGCGGCTCACACAGCTGGGAGACTGAGGCAGAGGGCTCGCTGTGAATTTCAGGCCAGCCTGGACTAGACTAAAATCCTATCTAAAAAGAAACTAAATAAACTTAAGGGCCAGATGTGGTGTCACATGCCTGTCATACAAGCACTCTGGAAACAGAGGCAGGATAATTCACACAGGATCCAGCTCACTGTTGTACACAGCAAAGTCTGGGACAGCTGGGTGAGGCGGTGGTGCACACCTGTAATCCTAGCACTCAGGAGGCAGAGGCAGGCCGTTCTCTGAAAGTTCAAGGCCAGCCTAGTCTATAAAGCAACACCAAGACAGCCAAGGCTATATGGAGAAACCCTGTCTTGAAAAACAAATCCAGGGCAGTCAGAACTACATAGCAAAACCCTGACTCCAAACAAACAAGACAAACAACAAACTATGAAATTTTAACTTTTTGTTGTTGTTGTTTTATGTTTTTGTTTTTAATTGTTGTTTGTTTTTTTGAGACAGGGTATCTCTGCAGCCTTGGCTGTCCTGTGCTTTGTAGCCCAGGCTGGCCTTGAACTCACAGAGATCTGCCTGCCTCTGCCTCCCCAATGCTGGGATTACAGGTGTTTACCACTGTACCTGGCTCTAACTTTTGGATTTTTAAAGACAAGGTCTCTCTCTGCAGCTCTGGCTGTCCTGGAACTCTACATAGACCAGGCTGGCCTCGAACTCACAGAGATCCAGCTGCCTCTGCCTCCTGAGTGCTGGGATCACAGAGCATCACTGCTCCTGGCTTATCCTACACCTCACTGGGACTCACAGATGTGGAACACAAGAGTAAGAGGCGGGCAGATCTCTGTAAGTTCAAGGCCAGCCTGGTCCACTGAGTGGATAGCCAAGGAACACAGAGAAACCCTGTCCTCTAAAAAAAAACAAACATACAAACAAACAAAACAAGACAAAACAAAACAAAAAACCAGGCAGGCATGGCGGCTCACACCTTTTTTTTTTTTAATTTTATTTTTTTCTTATCAGTTACATTTTATTAACTCTGTATCCCAGCCTTGTCCCGATCCCTCATTCCCTCCCAGTCCCTCCCTCCCTCCCTCATCTCCACCGTGCCCCTTGCCAAGTCCACTGATAGGGGGGACCTCCTCCCCATTCATCTGATCCTGTTTTATCGGCTCACACCTTTAATCCTGGCACTTGGGAGGCAGAGGCAGCTGGATCTCTGTTACTTTGAGGTCAGCCTGGTCTACAAAGTGAGTCCAGGACAGCCAGGACAGTTATACAGAGAAACCCTGCTCAGAAAAACAAAAGAACCAACAAAAAACAAAAACACATTAAAAAACCCAAAAACACCAGAGAAAATTAGCACTAAAATGCTGTTGGTAAAGTTGGTCTAGTCTTCTCATTGCAGTGAGCATTTCCAGTCTTTACGTGTGTAGTTTGGTTTCAGGTTTATAGAGTATCACCCTAGCCTTGGCTGGCCTTGAATTCACAGCAATCCTCCTGTCTCTGCCAGTAGGCCTGAGCCTGCTGGCCTGGATCTAGGTCATTGTTGAGGGGCTAACACAGACATTGAGTGTGCCAGAGCTGGGGACTTCCTAACACCTTGGTAAACCTTTGTTTAAACTAATAGAGGTAATTTTAGTCCCCTTGCCAGGGGATTGGTTATGGAACCAGCAAGTGATGTCATTATGGAGATGAGAGATGAGGTGATGTCTGCCGGTGTTGGGAGGGGCGGAGGGAAGGGAGTCTTGCTCTGGCTTTTCCAGAGTCTGGAAAACCGTTCTCTCTCTTGCAACCTGTGGACAGTGTGTGAGTATATGATAGCTGTGCAAGCTGCTTGCGGCTGCTGGGACTATCTTGAGACCACAAGGGAACAAACAGAACGGAAGCTAACATCTTTAACATGAGGCAGCAGAGAAATAAAAAGGTAATTGCTCCCTGATGATATTTTGAGCTCCTGGCTTACCCGGTCCTGTAACTCTCTGCCCTGTTTTCTTGCTGAGGGAGATTCGGATGTTTGAGATGGCCCTTCTGTTTCCGGCTAAAGGCATTTTAATATAAAAGCCCCTCAGAGACATTTTTATGTACATATATATATATTTTTACATGTGCTTGTTTTCTTATGTGTGGGATGGTGTGAAGGTCAGAGGTCAGCTTGTTGGGAGTTGGTTCTCCTTCCACAACACGGGTCCCAGAAGTTGAACTCAGTCCAAGCTATGTGGCAGAGACAGGGTCTCACGTAGCTTAGCCTGACTGACTCACATGGCTGAGGCTGGCCTTGAACTGCTGAGTGCCCTGCTTCTACCTTCCACAGTGCTGGGTTTACTGACAGAAACCGTCATGCTTTTTAGTAACATAACAATAGTAAGGCCCTAGCAGGGGGTGGTGGCTCCTTCTTCTAATCCCTGAC